AAGCACGTGTTAAGCAAATTTGTTTGCCTACTTTTGGGATTAACTTTTTGTAGTTGGAAATTTTGGTTACATGACAACAGTTATGGCAGATAAAAAAATGTATTATCAAAAATTTCTAAAATCTTTAAAAAAGTCTTAAACTATTGAACATGACATGACAGGTTGCATACATTAAGAATAAATTTTTGGTAATGAAAAATTTTATTTTCATGCAACTGCTTTCGAATATAAAAAATTTATTATCGAAAATTTCTAAAACACTTCAAAATGTTTTAATATTTCTTTGCATAGTCTCAGGATACATTTTTCAGTAGTGGACATCTTTATTTACATGACAACTGCTGTCAAAGATAAGAAAAATTATTATCAGACAATTTCAAGACTGTTACAAAAAGTGTACAATTCTTTGCCTACTTTTAGGATAAATGCTTTAGTAGCAGGGATATTTTGTTTCCATGACGACTGCTGTGGGAGATGAATAAAATATTTGTGAAAGTTTTTCTTGAATATTTTAAAAAGTTTTGAATCAATAAAAAGTATTTCCTTCTGTTGTCATGAAAGATATAACATATATTTTGCATACTTTTAGGATACATTTTTGGTAGTGAAAAATTTTGTTTTCAAACAACTGCTATTGGAAATAAGAACATATATAACCAAAAATGTCTAAAATGTTTTAAAAACTTTTAAGCTATTGAAAAGTATTTTGTGGATAAATTTTTGATAGTGAACAATTTTAATTCAATAATTCTATCAAGAACAAGAAAATTTGTGATTAAAAATTACGAAAATGTTACAAAAAGTGTTAAAATATTAAAAATTACCTAATTCTTCTACGAAAACTCGAAATGTTGGGCCGTTGTGTAAGTGTGCAAGGCTCCAGCGACGACGTTGCGGCACTTTTAGGCGCTGATTACTTGAAGGTTTGTAAATTTAACTAAAATAAGAAGCTACTATTATTAATCTCTTATGTGCATATTTCAATGTTCAATACTGTATTTAAAAATGTTTTGTTTTCTTAAGGTCTTTTATTTGGTAAATGTGTATCTACATACCAGTGTAATATAGTAATATATTCAATACGAGCGTATTAAATCACTATTTTCTACAACTGAAACTCTTAAAAAATATTTTGCATTTCAATCTGAAGTTATTTAAGCCACACCTACTGCACAAACTCTTCTTAAATCCATTTTATTTTTATAGTTATTTTCACACAAAAATAAATATTCGTTTGCTAGCTTTGACTAAGACTTTTCATACAATTTTCCACACATCATGCATTTTCCAACATAAAATTTGTTGCCATTGGCAACCGAATGAGAGCGCATAACTATACGACTGCATACAGCAACTAATGCCTCCGTTACGCTATACAACGTTATGCTATGCTACGCTATGCTGTGCGAAACAATACAGGCACAATAAAAGAATGCCTACTGCAGAGGAATGCGCTCGCACACACACACACACACAACTTACTTGTTGTGTAAGCTGCTCTGCTCAGTCGTCTCGCCTGTATATTTCCACTTGGATTTAAATTGAAAGGCCTGTCACTTCACATGCTCTTTATCCTTTTGAAAGTCAAGTTTATCAGGCCTGCCAGCATTTGGAATTCTTAGGCTTTTGCTGCAACCTCCATACATCGTTCGCCTAACACCACCCGAACTATTTCTGGCCAACAACGCTTCTGTTACTTAGTTACCTCGTGTGTTCTTAGCTTCTTCGTCCCTTTCGCCTTTTGGATACTTCTACTTATATTACTTTCGTGTCAGCAACAGTTACTGGCGGCAATGGAGTTAGCATCATCACCGCCATCATCATAGATACTACATTTTATTGTAGTCAACTTCAGGTCGTTTGCCATATTCTTTGCTAGTTAGCTTGTGTTGTCTTGTTATAGATTTGCGTTTTGTGTTCTTTGTTTTGGTTATTGCTAGGCGTGTATGTTGGACAGTGGATCAATTCGGGAAATCAGTTGGAAAACTCACGTGGCTTTTTTTTAAGTTTCGTCTCTTTCTTTCTATGAAATTTTTTATTCAAAGTAAAGTCTTAGCATAACTAACTAATTTTGAAAGTTAAATTTTAGTTTTTAGCGTCTACTTCAAGCCAGCAAACAACAAGGACGAAGCATGGAGGGTCTGAAAATATGATTGAAATTTATTATAAAAATTTATTCTTCGAAGTTCGGCGTTTTTTATGACTTTTATGAATTCCATATGTATAAACTACTTATATACGAAATATTTCAATACGATTAGAACAATACGATTTTTATCCCACCGTTGACAGAACTCGAAACTACTATTATTAGAAATATAATAATTTTTAACTGCACACATTCCTTCAGTATATATATTTTTTCCCATTTTCTTAGGCCTGTAAAATGTTGAAATTTCTTAAAACCCAATTCTCTTTTCACTCATTTCTTTTTGCCCTGCTATAATCCAGCAAAAACAACAGCGCAGCAGGTGCTCAAAGCTAGTTTTCTTGCATATTTGATGCAAGAATTTGCATTTTCATGTTTATTCAAGTCTTTATTTTCTAGTTCTAAAGGAAATATGAAACTAATTTCATTGTCAGCGCCACAAAGAATATACAAAAGAGTAATTCGTGCACATAGCAGTTACTAATTGTTTTGCTGCAACAATGCACAATTGAAATGCAGCTAAGCTAATATAGATTTTTTTGTAATATAACATTTACCAACACATAAAAGTGCATTTTCTAAAAATATTTCAGAAATTTAAAATTTAGGTATAAAATATTCTGCTTCATGCAAATATTTCATTTTTCGTAAGCGAGAAATTTTATTTTTGAGCTACATTTCTACATTTCTCTAGATTTTTGTTTCAAGCTCATGCTTTATTGCACTCTCATGTTCAATTACATAATATTTTATTACCAACAGCTGTTTCAAAGCGAACTAAATCTTTGTGATTTGCTACAAAACTTTGCATTCTTATTTCAAGTTTCTTGTTAAGCCTGTGCTCTACAAATATATTAAGTTTTGTATATTTTCTTCTAAGTTTGTATATTATATATTAATTAAATATATTAACAAAGTCACTTTGAATACATACATTTATATTTACTATAAATAAATTTTCATATAATTGCATTTGTAGCATCATCTCTCCTTCGTCGCCTCTTAACAAACATGGTTTGTCATCGCTTGGTGCGTTGGTGTACGGAAATTACAAAAGTCCTTTGCCAATAATTATGATAACAACACTGAAACGATGAGTATTATGTTGCCACTCTGCCAATTCTGCAAAAGATTGTGTTAGCTTGCTTGCTTGCTTCTCGGTCAGCAGGGCGTATACGTTATCGTTTGGCACTCAACACATTTGCTCATTACACTCGCACTAGCATTATGGTGCTATAGCCTAATGGCTTACTTCCGACTACAAGTTTCCTTGTTATAGTGTCTTGTGAGAGTATTTGATTTCTGCATACAAATATTCATATATCTATATTCCATATATACATACCTTCTGCTCAACGCAAAACGAGACTTTATCCATAACTCGACAAGGACATGACATATGGTCATACTTTTTTTTGCTTAGGTTGGCAGGACATGTCTGTCACATAGTTTTTTTTTAAGGCACTATAAACAAGTCAACCTCGAGTGTGTTTTTCGAATTTTACTATGGAAATTAACGTTGAGCAAAAAGTGTTTGTTTGAAATTTTGTTATTCCAATGGAATAATTGCCTATCACGTGCACGTATTTTTGATTGGTATAAGTCGTTCAAGGACGGCTGTACATCGCTGGAGAACTTGCCCCATGATCGTCGTCCAGCAACGTCAATAAACGAAGAAAACGTCGAAAAAGTAAAGAAAATTGTGTTGGAAAATCGTCGTGTGACTGAAAGAGAGATAGCTAGTGAGCTCAACATATCAAATGGATCCGCTCATAGCATTGTTCACGATGTTTTGGGCATGAGACGTGTGTCTGCTCGACTTGTTCCAAAATCCAGCTCATACGTCTCGTCTTGTACGCGATTATTTGACCAAAAACAACGTAAATATTGTTCCGCAAGCACCGTATTCACCCGACATGGCACCGTGTGACTTTTTTCTTTTCCCTAAACTCAAATTGCCGCTTCGTGGAAAACATTTTCAGTCGATTGAAGTCATAAAAGAGAATTCGAAGAAGGAACTGAAAGCCATACCTAAAGCGGCCTACCAGAAGTGTTAGGAAGATTGGAAAAAAAGGTGGCATATGTGTATGGCCTCTAATGGTGACTATTTTGAAGGGGATAAAATAAATATTGAAGAATAATTAACCGTTTTTGTTGTTTGAGCCAGTCTCGTTTATATTTGAGCAGAAGGTATATACTGAGATACAACCAAATAAACTTAGGGATACTCTTATGTAATAAGGGTATTTTAATAAAAATACATAAGTATTGTATTTATATTTATGACTTGTACAAAGGCTTACATTTCGTGAAAATTTAGACGAATAGTTTCAAATACTAAATTTTTGTAGTACAATATATTTATTTCGTCTCTGCAAGTTCTGAACTAAAACAATTCCGACTTTACTCGATCCATTATGTCATTTTAACAAATATGTACGTATGTTTATCCCTTAAACAAATGACAATTAAGGAATTAGGGATAGAAATATAGATTATTTTACTCGCTGGTTTCAAAAATAATCATATAAAAGCTTTTTCGATTCAGAAAAATTAACAAAATGTGGTTCTTCTGACTTGCAAGTGGATATAACCCCTTAATATCCGTTTACTTTTTTGTTAATTTAACTCAATTTATTTTCCTTCTAACTTCTTCGTATTTTCCCCCACTCTTCGTAAAATGAGTTTGTGAAACCTCCGTATTCAAAATTAGAAAATATTACTCAAAATTTTTTACTCACCTTTGTATGCGAAATTCCTTATATTCTCTCACGATTAACTTTGTATGCGAAATTCCTTATATTCTCTCACGATTAACTTAAAAGTCTTAATTTTACTTTCTTTCTTGCAGATTTACACCGATTGGGCCAACTATTATCTCGAGCGTGCCAAATCCAAAAAGAAAGTCACCGATTTATCAGCAGACTGTCGCGATGGTCTGCTACTTGCGGAAGTCATTGAAGCGGTGACGTCGTTTAAAGTGCCCGATTTGGTGAAAAAGCCTAAAAATCAGCAACAAATGGTGAGTTTGAATAAAAATAAATACTTAACTTTTAGTAAAAATTATTTATAATTTATGTTTATCACTTTTTGTTAAATATGAACTTATTTCAAAAGCAGGAATCCTTACTGAAAACTATATTTGCTTCAAAGCAATTATTTATTTATATAAACAAATCGTTGCTCCTAAGACACCCTATAAATATAAACTCAATGTTTTTTTTAATATTATATTTCCTGCCATCACTTAAATAAAAATATCCTTGTCAACTCATTTGAAAATATTATTTTATTTAATAATCAACTAATCACATGATACCAAATCACTCAATTACCTCTTAAATTTATAAAAATCATAATTCCGTAATTAATTGCATACATCAAATGCCACTATTACACTAATTTCGTAATTATGCTGCAAAGTTTTCAATGTAATACGAGTGCAGCAACATTTAAAAATACACACAAATAAAGTTCGCTTAAGCGCACAACACACCTTAAGGCTTTAAGCGCAAATGTCTAAAACTTTAGCAGCCACGACCGCAAAATGCGCAGGTAAACGTGTGTAGAAGTACACTTTTCCCTCAAGAGTGCTTGTCACACTTCCAACAACAAACACATTACACTCGTCTGACTCATCCATGGCAAACGCTGATATCACAGCACACACATCCATACATAAAAAGGTTTGTTTGTATGTATGTGTGTGTATGTGGAGTGTGTTTAAAATAGAAGCAACTGCCGCGTAATAGAAAACTCGTTAATTGTTTTTCGCACATACAAAAGTCGCGGCACAAAACGTGAAAATATTTCATTTTCCCCATTTTTTTTTTCAACCACAGTTAGATAGCGTTTTGTTGCGGAAGCAGTAGTTTGCGGTACAGTGAGCAGAAATCGTTGCATATTTTTGTATACCCAAGAAAGATTGAGCAGGCTAAAGTTTTAACACAGAAAAATAACGTTATATCTGCTAGCTATAGTATATCCTGAATAATCCAATATAGCATATCAGCATGTAGGGTATAATTTTCGGGCAATTTTTGGCGACAGACATATTCAGCACTTGACTTTATTCTTCACGCACACATCCATATTTACGCAAACACTAACTCCATTTACTGCCATCATTCACGTTGACACACACATATGTGTATATAGCTCAATGTATGTGGATTTGTCTTTTTTCACGTCTAGCACTGCGCTGTAACGCAATGCGACGTGTTGAAAAGCCACGACAACCAGCATGACTGGTGTTGCCACATATCCTTCGGTGACGCGGTTGAAAGAGTGTCAGCATCGGAGTTGAGGAAAATCGTATTAATGACAAACTGTTTGCCAGCAAATGAATGAATGAAGGTAGAAACTTACAAGCGAAAGAATTAAATTAAATTAAAGTAAAAACTAAAATAAATAAGGGGAAAGAACAAATGCAACGTCCAAATGAAATTATTATGAATTTAAAGAGCTGTCTGTTTGACATTTAAATAAAATGGATTGAAGTAAATTTCATGAGCAATATTTAATACGACGGAAGAAGGGTTGAATGATGTAATATATGGCTGTATGACGTAAATCATATGGCTTAGAATAATAATGTCATATGACATGATGTGATATAATATTCTTCGATTATTATGACCTGAATTTTTCCAAGCACGTCGAAGTTTTAATCTGTGTTGAGATATCATATAATACGACATGAAATCATATGATATAAAGTCTTTTGCTAAATGTTGCTAATGGCAGATCAAGTGATAAGTAATATTCACGTGATTTTATTTTATAAAATAATACAAGTTGCATGTGTATATGTACGAATACAGTAGCTATGTGACGATTAATTGTCATGTCATATAAGAAGATATTATGTGATCTAAAGTCATGTAATGATCTGTACAAAAGTGTACCAAATTAAAAATTTTGTGAAAATTGTGAATTTTCATATAAAGCTCAGGTTTACTCATTCCACATTAAAATGCCTAAGCGAGATTTGATTTGATAAAACATCATATGATTTTGGACATCTGAATTGTATTGAATGTGATCTGTTTATAGATAACTCGATAACTCTCCAGTAAGATCTTGATTGCTGTTGACACATGTATGTTATAAAGCAATTTAGAGTCATGTGACTTCAAATTATTTATTTCCTTGTTATAAGATATTTTGTGTCATGTGATGTTATATCAGCCATGTGATTTTTTAAACAAATTATTACGAAATAATATGCTGAAATGAAGTGTTTTGGAATGATGTGATATGATATCACGTGATACATAATCATATGTTTCTAATTGACATTGACTTCCCGTCATGTGGAGTTGAAGTTCAATCAAGATATTTTGTATCATGTCATGTTATATTATGTGACGAATAGTCATGTGTTTCTGAACAAGTTTTTATGAACACTGATACTGAAATGATGTGATTTGGCATCATGTTATGGAACAACATGTATTATATCTTATGATCTTAATTGACGTTGACTGACCGTCATTTGTAGTTTTGCATTACGCAAAATCTTTGAATGAGATGATCTGATATCATGTGATGTATTGCTATATGTCCTTATGACGTGAAATTTAGGTGATTTTTCATTTATTTAATGCATGTCGGCATCATACCATACGTTGTGACACTTTATTAAATCAAAGACATTTTAAGAAGAATGTAAGTTATATGCGATAATATTATTTATATTTTAGGTATATGATCCTCTTCCTAAACTAAAAGCTCTAGTTCTGTAGTCACACATTTCACCAACCAACCAACTGCCCATAACACACTGGGACCACTCGTAACACATTTTTCTACACACACAGCACAAACTTGTCACGTAATGGTTCCCTCGGCAGAGAATCTGTCGCCCATTTGCCTATTGAAGTTCAAAGACACGTAAAATGAATCAAAATCCTCTTACAACTTTTCTAGCTTTGCTTAGTTACCACTTCGGTGTAGCGCAAAATGCAAATATAAATAGAATAAAACGTACACATGCACACAAAGTCCCTTACGTACTGCGCATACGGTGCAAACTTTTGCTTAAATCAACATTTGAATAGCGCAAGGAAAAATGCAAGCGCGTAACAGGCCAATAGCGGCATGGCGAGTGAAAAAAGCGCTTGAAAACTGAAAAAAATTTACACGAACGGCTGGTTGGCAGATTTGACTTTGAGCACTTTTACATTTCGCTGATTTTTCACTACATGCGCGTATTGCAAGTGGCGGTGTGCGGGGAGGCGCGCTTTTTTGCGCTTCACTCCACTCAACTCAGTTCAACTTCGCTTTGCTTTGTTCCACTTGGCGCGCATTTGCTGAAACTACTCATTAGAAAAAGTGTTGGCTGCGGCGCATACAAAATTTATTTTATTTTCTATTTTCACCCCTTTCCCCCTCGCGCACACATTGCATTCGCTGTTTCTTTTGCTTTTCCGTTTTCCTTTGCGCTTTTTGTCAACTTTTGTGCAAGTTTTGTTTCGAAACTTTATTAAAAACTTGCCGTGTTTGCATTAGCCGTGCTGAGCACTCAAGAGGAAAAGGTTGCCAGTGAACAAAAAAACCAACGGTAGCGCAATTTGAAAGAATTAGAGTAAGAAGCTAGAGTGGTTTTTGTTCTTGGTGGCGCAAGGTGTAAGTATTCGCCCGTACTTGATTTAAAAGTTTTATTATGATTGTATTGAATTTATTTAAATGTGTTAGCCGTTTGTTTGAGTGACGTTGGCCGTCCAGTGAGTAGCACAGATAGCAAGAGAACTAAGTGCGCAGTGAGTGGAAAAGTTTGCAAACATTGACCACGATGTAATGAGCTTTAAATTGGTTGAGACGGTTGAAATTTAAGTTGGAGAAAGTCTTAGGTTTGCCAGATATACCTAAGTATATTACAAATAATTTTAAGTGATTTTTCCAGCATATTTAACCACGCTTCAAACTTTTAGAGACATCAATTTTTAGTGCGAAAGTTTTAAAATAAAAATTATAACAAAAAAAAATATATATAAAATTATTTAAAAAAAGTATTTAAATATTTTTATTACCATTTAAGTGTTTTTTTTTTTTTTTTGCTTTACTTTTTGTCCTACAATTTTCTCTCTTAAAAGTGATATCTCTAACAATAAGTTTAAAATTTTCAAATTCTCGAGCCAACTAAAAAAGCGCAACCATATCTACACCCAAATTGAGCTCAAGTTCATTGTCGAAATGCAAAATCGCATTATGACTTACACATACAAATGGAATGAAACAAAAAATAAACTATAAGCAATCACCTCATAGCCACCCCGCTCCAGAGCAATACGCTACACTGCACTGCGTCTGCAGCAAGTCTATGAAATAAAAATTTATTTCAACTTTTGTCGAGTTTACGCTTTGCATAAGCAATGAGAAACGCCGCATGCCAACTCGCAATATTTGCAAACTGCTAGCCAGCAACTGGCAAACGCTGCGTGGCGCCGAAAAGCGCGCTATATGTGCGAACACAATGCAACGCTCAGAAAGTGCGGCATGTCGTATAATAAACGTGAAGAGAAAATTTGAAAAGCGAACGTGACATGAGTGGAAAGCAAAAAAAAAAACCCTACTATGAGTATGTATGTATGTGTGCGCCGAAAAGTCATGCCTTCGCAAAAAATGCGAAAAGAAATAGAGAGAAATGTAAAAGTAAAAAAAAAATATTAAAAAAAGTGGCAAACTTGAAATTTGGCAAATTAGTTAAGCAGCAGCCACACTGCGCTCACTTTATATTTTCTGCTTCGCTGCCGCAGTTTCTTGCAACTCAAAGCACAACATTTATTCTGCACGTAGGCCACTCAATTGTAAATGTGTCTCTGTCTGTGTTGAGTGGGCGTAACTGTGTACGTGTGTGACATGTTGCTGAAATTGAGTTAGGCGAGTTAATTTTTACTGAGCGACAGCTAATTTTATACTGCGCATGCGTTTTTGACACAAATAGCATTAAAATTCAATTGTCGAAAATTTCGAATTTTTTAACGAATTTTCTTTAGCTTTGCGAAAGAATTACCGTAA